TCCCAGCCCTGGCTGACAGCCACTCTCCCTCCCTAGAACCACCAGTACCAGTGTCCCCGGTACCCTGTGCCCTGCCCCAACCAGTGTGGGACACCCAGCATCGCCCGGGAGGATGTGCCCACCCACCTCAAGGAGAGCTGCAACACTGCCATGCTGCTGTGCCCCTTCAAGGAAGCTGGCTGCAAGCACCGGGTGAGTGTCCCTGTTCCTGTGACCATCTGCCCTGGCATCTTGTCCTGTCCCCACCACAGCATGTCTGTGCCCCACAGCGTTCCTGCACCTCTCTTGACATCTGTCCCATCCCTTGTGGTGGTTCTGCTCTGTCCCATCCATGTGACTCCATGGTGTCCCCATCCTAGTCCTGCCACACCCCTGTGTCACTTTTACCACCCAAGTGTCCCCATGCCATCCCAACCAGGTGTCCCTGTGCCATTTATGTCTCCATGACATCCCCGTGCCATCCTGCTCCAGTATACCCCCATCTCCAGTGATATATTCATGACATCCTCTCCTGTCCCACGCTGCCCCTGGCACTCCCCCTGCTGACAGTCCTGCTGTCCCCACAGTGCCCCAAGCTGGCCATGGGCCGGCACCTGGAGGAGAGCACCAAGGCACACCTGGGCATGGTGTGTGCCCTGGTGAGCCGGCAGCGGCAGGAGATCCTGGAGCTGCGTCGGGACGTGGAGGAGCTGTCGGTGAGCAGCGACGGGATCCTCATCTGGAAGATCGCCGACTACGCCCGCAAGCTGCAGGAGGCCAAAGCCCGGAGCAACTACGAGTTCTTCAGCCCCCCGTTCTACACCCACAAGTATGGCTACAAGCTCCAGGTCTCTGCTTTCCTCAACGGCAACGGGAGCGGGGAGAGCAGCCACCTCTCCGTCTACATCCGCGTGCTGCCCGGCGAGTACGACAACCTGCTGGAGTGGCCCTTCTCCTACCGCGTCACCTTCTCCTTGCTGGACCAGAGCGACCCCTCGCTCTCCAAGCCCCAGCACATCACTGAGACCTTCCACCCCGATCCCAACTGGAAAAACTTCCAGAAGCCGGGAGCCTCGCGCAGCTCCTTGGACGAGAGC